GTTTCTGCAACCAAGAAGAAAACCACAGAGATAAATTCTGGGAAATGTTAGAAGGTGGTTGAGAAGGTATTTTTGAGGCCAGATTTCAAAGGGCCCCATAACTGATGCTTGCCAGAGAAAAACGTAAAAACAGTTTTGACAAGGGCCCCTTTAAGATGTACCATAACTCTCAAGTGGCACTCAGCCCTGAAATTTTTACTATTCCCACTGGCATGTTCTGTGCTCTTTGGAACTATTTCTTACTCCCCCCTCCCCCGCCCCCCAAACTTGCATCTAGCGTTTCGTGTCTTCGCCCTCCCACAGCTGGTAATCTTTAGAAAACGTTGACCAGAGAAGCCACCCACTTCCGTTCTTCCTATCGCCCAGTCTGCTGACTTTTGCACAGTGGAGTCCCTCAGCCTGCAGACAGGCTGGAGGGCTCCACTGTGGTTTGGGAGCTTCTAGTCACACATGGCTATTTAAATCTCATTTAATTAAAATTAAACCTTAAGATTCAGTCTCATATCAAGTGCTCAGCAGGGTAATGAGGGCGACGGCTGCTGTATCAGATGTGTGGATAGACTCTCCATCTTTACAGCACTCTGTTGGACGGCACTTGCTGCTCAGGGCCTCCCATCTCGGAAACAAAACCAACAGCCACAGCAGCAAAAAACCTGCCTTTGATGTCACATCTCTCACTGTAGCCTTGTCCATTCTGTTTCTGTGTGCCTTTTTGCAGCAGACATGGAGAAGTCTCGTCCAAAGCTGTCGCCTCCTGTGTCTATAGTTGCTGTCCCCCTTCACCACCGGACACTGTATCTGTGTCATCCGCCAACCTGGCTCTCATCCTCACCACGGCCAGGAAACTGCTCTTGTCAGTATCACCGGCTCCGATGGTGTTCATGTTTTTAAATCCAGGAGTGGTGCTGTATTTATTGTCTTCTCTTCTTTTCCTTCTGCCTCACCAGCCACTCTGTCTTAGATGCCTACCAGGTTTTTCTCCTTTATACAATTCAAACTGCTGGAGTGCCCCAGGTTCTGGCCAGGGTCTTCTTCTATCATGTATACGTTCTATCTGCCTGGTCTTATTCTTATGTAGTCTCATAGCTTCATGCTGACGATTGAGACATTTTGGTCTTCTTGTAACTCTGACTTCCCTGACAGGCCCCATCGTCACTTTCTCGCCACATATCTTCACTTGAATACCTAATAGGCCTCTCAAATGTGTGTCCCAAACAGGACTCAGCTTCCTCCCCCTGCTCTGCCCGCCTCCTGTCCTGCCCTAAACCAGTTTCGTCCCCATCTCCAGTAAACAGCCAGAAACCTGGGAACCAACCTTCATGCTTCCCTTTTCGCCAGCACTTTTATTTTTGAGCTCCAAATGTTCATACTCCTCTCATTTAAATTCTCTTTCTCTAGAACTCGGCAGTAGCCTGCAGGTCTCCCTGTGCTCACCCTTCTTGCCCTGTTTCAATCCAAATCCTCTACAGCGGCGGCAGAATGGTCTTTCTGAAATGCAAATATCATGTCACTTCAGTGAACCTTCCAGAGGCTTCCCGTTCCACGGCCAGTATGGCTTGCAAGGTCTTACTGGCCTGGCCTCTGTTTCCCTCCTTGCCCTCAGCCCTTACCACTCTCTTCGTGACTTCTTCTTTTTCTCTTCCTTAAACAAGCCACGCTCAGAGCAGCCACAGAGCTTCTGCCTTTATTTTCCTCTTTGTCTGGAGTGGCTGGCCCCTGCTTGTCATTTTAGTCTCTCGGCTAAAAGGGTTGCCTTTTATGGCCTTTCTGACCTACTCATCTAAAATAGTCCCTTCACTGTCCTATTATTCTTTTATTTTCTCTGTGATACTTAATACTCGGAAACTGAGTTGTTTGCATGTTTGTTGTTGATCTCCCCAGCAAGGGTGTTGCGTTCCACAGCAGCCGAGACTGTCTTATTTGCTGCCTAATCCTTGCACTTAGAACGGTACATATATGTAGTAGGCGCCCAGTAAATGTTGAGTGAGTCAATGGAGCTGGGGTTCTATGAACTATAGGCCATGAGTGCTCAACTGGTGGACCCTGAGCCCTCCCGTCATCACCATGTGAAACTTATTTTTGCTAAGAGTGAGCTGAGGATTTAAGAGCGTTTTGCTGCGCAGCTTGTGCAATGCATTAGAGTGGGGGAAACGGTGCTGCAAATTTGTGATAAGAGGTGTGGGGTAACTGGGAGCTGACATCAGAGAAAGAGCTATGTTTACAGCAACATGCGAGACCTTTGCCTCGTGACTATAGCAGAGAAGGGTCAGAGAGGAAACAGCTTGTCGTAGAAAGTCACCAAATAAATCATGTGAAGACTATGGACGCACTTCTAAAGAGTCAGAGACATTCCATAGGAGAGTGTGCTGCAGTGTCATTTCTGATTTATTCCACATGGTTTGGACTTTTTAATGGCTTCCGTTATGCCTCTACAAATTCTAGTATTCAGAAGTTAAATTTCAGATGTTTGAAACATTGTAAGAATAGTGATAATTCCAGTATCTCAAATCTGTATGGGTCTCTTTCTACCGTGTTATGTTTTTTGCTGGTTCTTAAATGGGGCCTCATTTCTATACTTACTTGGCAATTTTTGGCTGAGAGCTGCTCATTTCCCTTGGATAATTATTTGGGGAGGATTCTTTGAGTCCGAGGGTGAAAGTGTGTTTCTCTAGAGGGGACTGTTTGTTGTCAGGTGGCTAGGGCTGCTATATACCAAAGCCTTTTAAAACTAAACTTGCAGCTTGAAATTTTTTTGAACCTCCTGGGAATATAAATTTGAGCAGCAGTTTCCTGGGGGTGGAATGGTTTATATTTGGTCCGCCCTTACCCTGAAGGTGTGACCATCCTGGGTCCTACCCTTATGGGGAACGGGTTTCCTGTTAACGGGCCTGCGGCATTTTCAGGGAGCCAGCCGATCTTTCTTCAGGTGCCATTATGCTTCCCCTCTTGTATTTTTATGGTTGTCTGTATACTTCTCTTGCAGATAGTCCTATTGAAATTGCTTCTGTTTGCTTTATTTTCTGTAGGCTTGGTTATTTAGGATTAGAATCATATCCATAAGCTGAGACATCCGAACATGCAGAGCTTACTGTTATTTGTCATTGTAATAAACATACGTTGGTTTTATTGGTCACACTCAACTTTGAGAAAGGTATTCTATATTAATCAACTCAAGAATGACCTGTGTAACATGCCATACCACATAACCTGCACAAAGGTGCCGGGAGGAGGGGTGTGTGGGGACTGAAATCAGTATTGCCACCAGCTCACTATGGAGACGGCTGCGTTAGCCAGAAACGTGGACCCTTTTTGTCATTTGCCTGCACAGAGGGAGCTCATTTTAAGATGTGCATAGGGGTGCCCTCTGTACTAGCAGCCACCCTGCTTTGCTCTGCATCCAGAATTTCTCGCGTCAGATTCCTAAACATTGGTATCCTTAAGGAAGCTTTGAGGTGGTGTTTAAGTTGGATAAAAGGAAAAAATCGTGGCTTATAAAGTCCCCTTACAAATTTGAATCTGCTCTAGAAATTGCATGATTATGTTGTCTTTTCTGCTACATGCATGCTTCTATAATGCAAATTAGTTTACACAAGATGGGTAAATAGGGACTGATGACATATGATGTGGAAATTGGTCCAGGCACAATTTTCCTTGAACATGTCACTGAACAGGTAACAGCAGCTGGATGTACTAGTACAGTACACAACATGGCCAAAGGCAGCAGACCAGGTCGGACAACAGGTCTTGCTCACTCATCTTGGTTCATCCTCTTGACTCAGGGGGCCAGGTGCTTGGTCTTGGAAGTACTGATTTCATGGTCTCTCCGATCTTTGTGTGTTTTGTCCTCGTCTCTATAACTTGGGAGCTCAGTCATTTCTTACAATCATTCCTTTCCATTGAGTGATCTTCACAATGTATGTTTAAAGATAAAGTTCATTTTGCATTTATTAGGAATTACATAATTTTAAAGCCTGAAATATGTATTTTTAATATTTTTTAAGTATTGTTCCATAGGTTTTGAGTAGTCTGCTTGAAATCTGGTTTTAGTATGTATTCAGAACTTAGTTTACATATAATATTATAAATAGAAACATTTGTATACACAGTTTATTTTGCATAACTATATGGAATTCCCCAACTCACCCCAAAACACACAGTCATTGTCATTGCTCCGTTTCCAGGGGTAACCAGGTATAAATGTGATAGAAGCCTTGCTGACTGAGACATCCATACTCCTAAAAAATTTGAAGACATTGATCTACTGGTAAACAAGCAGAAACTTAATTTCTTTATGGGCCTCTTGAATTTCTTTAGTAACCCTCCTGCTACCTGACCATGCTGCCCACCCCCCCCCCCCGCCCCCCTTCACACTCTCAGGTGTCTGGTTTGCTCATATATCTTTCACAAGTTGATCCAGACTTCTTAAGTTTCCATGCTCCCAAATTACCTGTCTCACTGCGCTACTAATCGGCTTTATCTTTGAAAATTTGCTCTAGCTTCCTTCTATGCCCAGAAACCTGAGAAAAAACCTGCTTTTCAATTGACCTCTCTCTCATAGAACCCAACTTGGAATATGTTTCCCCATAGAAACTAGCCAACTTACAAATGAACATTTGGAACACAACCTATTCATAAATTAGATTCTGCTCCCCATAGGTGAAAAGTTCAAATGCTTTGGCATGGAAAGAATTGTCCAGAAACAATTATGAGAAGCCCATAAAGCACTTTTTTTTTTTTTTTTGCATATGAGCCAAAGTAGGAGGGCAGGAGCAACGTTAAGAGATATTTTAGTAATAATAATAATAGTAATAAAGCTGAGAAAAAGCTAGTGTATACCTTTGTCTTACTTTTCTTTTTTATCTTGCAGTTTTGACATCAGATATTCATAAATTTAAAACATGACAATGAAGATTTGACCCAGTAGTTAGCTCATAGTGAATATTTTTATTCTGTGTTATATGAAACTTCTTTCGTATGTTTATTTAGATGAACTAGAAACATTCATGGTTTCAGTGAAATTTAAATTCTAAGTACAGAGGACAGATGTGTATATGTATATATTTATATATGTGTGTGTGTGCATAGTAAATTTCCTGTATGAAAAACTTGAAAAATAGTGACAAATACATGAAAAATCACCATAATCATTCTATTCAGGAACAATATGTATTAATATTTTGGTGTGTATCTTGCCAATTTCTTTTTTAAAAGTCTTTCTGAGATTATACTATCTATAATTTCCCCATCTCTGTATATTTCCTCATATCCTGTATTCTTCATAATGATAATTTTTAAATACTGTGCAGTAGTCTAGGGAAGTTTTAATAACCTCTGAGCCTATATGGTTCCAGGTTTTTGCTACTGTAAATAATGCTGCTAGCAACATTTCCCTGTATAAAATTTTTTTTTTTATTTGGGGAATTACTTGGCTCTTGGTACATGTTGCTGGGTGGATTGCTAATCAAGAATGAGCAGTTGATTATACAGTCTTACCACTTCTCATTTGACTTGACCTATGGATAATTCAGATGAAACTGTTCAGAAGATGTAATGTGACATCCACCGGAGTCACAGGCTGTGCCCTCACCCTCTGTAGTTCTGTCGTGGACTTGGAGCTTGGTTCTGCCTGCTGTCCACTCTGCTCTGCATTATCTGCTGTAAACATGCCAGTCACCTGTGCTGACTTTACGGACAGTCTGCAGCCTGGCAGGGCCAGGTAGAAAGGTGGGAGCCAGGTAGGGGAGGAGGTCACTGTGACGACCTGGCTGCTTTCTGTTTGGATAACTGGTATTCAAAACGGAGAAAGCCATGTGATTTTACTTTCAGCAGAAGTGAGTGAGTATATTGCGTATTTTCATAATATAATGAAAATCCCCCCCCCCCGTTTTAATATTTAACTTACATATGTATTAAAAATTAACATTTTTCTTTTGCTGAAGAAAAACCCCTGAGAACATTGAAGACACGTGAAAGGACAGAGGCAGACCTTACGAAGCAGAGCCATCCAGACGCAGTTGTTTCACCCACGTGGATGTCTTTTACTGTGACAGTGGGAACTACAGTTGCCAATTTTCAGGAGACCTAAAAATTGGTCTATTTCAGATGGATGCAGGTTTTAAATTGGCCCCTGGATAGTACATTTCTTTTAAAATTGAACCTTAATTGATTTTGATTTTTTAAAGCTTGAATTAAGTAGAAAATTAAGGGCTTTTTATAATTAAAGATGGTAATATATATTTAACTTGGATGATTACCTAATAGAGAATTATTTATACCCTATTATTATTTTTAAATATTTAGTGTTTGCCACAAAAAGCAGAAAATATTCTGTCTTGTTGTTGAACTCTCTTTAATTCATATTTTATAAGTCACAGACCATTCTGAACAGGTTTGGGGAAGTTAGTGAAAACATAGCCAGTATGATTTGTTAGCATTAACAAAATATATGCAGTTTTTTATTCATTTCTAAATTGGAATTTTTAGAATTATGAATATAAATATTTATGCTCTTTCTGTTTTGAAGAAAGTACCTTATTTCCTTATGTGAAAAATTTATGCAAGAGTTCAAAAAAGCTCCAGGAATAGAGTAATATTTTGAATGGAATTAATTGTTTTTCACTTAACCAGAGTGGCCAAATACTATTTCAGCACAGATTTAGTCCCATTTCTGGACTTCCAAAACAAGAGACTATTTACGAATTCATTTCAGTTTGGGTATTTATAAGAAGAAAAGACTGTTCTGATGGCTGTGGAGTAGTCCTAAACACTGAGGTAAACTGTCTTGACTTACTTATATCTATCTGTTGGATACACCAGCTGAAGACAGTCCCTTTTATCCTGTGTTTCCATAAGCAACAAAAACCCAAATACAGATCTTTTATAATAAACAAATTGGAAATAATATAAATATCCATTAGTGTGATATTTGGACTAAATAAAATTCAGTGTGTTAGTGTACTGAAGTCCTTTGTGGCCATGAAACATGTTTACGCAGTTGATGTTCTATGGAGAAGTGACTGTGATATGTAGCTGTGTGTTTTAAAAATAGTACATGTCTCTCTGAGGATTATAGATGATTTTTTACTTTCTATTTATATCCTTTTATAGTTTTTTAAAATATTGAGCATGCATTATACTTCTATAACTAGGAAATCAAGGCATGTTCTTATGTATGATGGTTGGGAAGAAATCTTGCACATGTTGAATTTATGAGGCAGAAATAACTTGTAAATTTCTGCTTGTAAACTAGTTATAGTTGCTAGATAAAAGGGATTATTTTTCTTTGGGTAGCCATCCAGGAAATCCTTTGATTTAAAAACATTATTGATTATATTGGAGGCGGTGATTAAATAAAAAATGATTATAAAAGCTGTTACTTTTTGCAGGCTTGGGAAAAATACAAAGATAAACTACAGTGATTACCACTGATTTACCTGTAGGTATCCAAGTTCTTATTGAGCATATGCCTTCCGTACATGAATTTTTATTTAAATATATCATGCATGTACTATGTGTAGATGAATTTGTATCATTTAAAAAATTCTTGCTGAACACTTGGGGATAAAGCACTTTGAAAGACTGTCCTAGTCCTAATCGGTTTGGCTCAGTGGATAGAGCATCAGCTTGGGGACCAGCGGGTCCTGGGTTTGATTCCAGTCAAGGGCATGCACCTTGTTGCTGGTTGGGGCTTGTGCTGGAGGCAACCAGTCAATATGTTTCACATCGATGTTTTTCTCTGTCTTTCCCTCTCTCTTCCACTCTCCCTGAAAATCAATGGAAAAATATCCTCAGGTGAGGATTAACAACAACAACAAAGAAAGCCTGGTCCTACATTCAGTTATTTTGCTATTTGGCTTTATATTTCAAAATAGCTAAAAAAAAAAAAAAAAAAAAAAAAAAAAAGTTACCTCACAAAGATATATTGATCTGAATGACTAAAAGTACATTATTGACTAAATTTATTAACTAGCAATTCCCATTTCAAAACGTCTACCAGTTATTACAAAAGTATTGATTAAAATTTCTGGTAAATGTCTGTTCCCTGATATTGTTAAGTTCTCAGAAAATGTGTTACACAGTAACTTTAAATAGATTAGAAAGTTATTTCTAAGTTCTCTGTAACTACAAAAGGACAATAGCTTTCTCCACAATATGAGCTTCTTTCCAAAAAGCAGTTATTTTCTTGCACTTCTTAAAACTTCATCTTACCTTGAAGGGCCTGAGTAAGTAAGCTTATTAAAATAAAAAAAAATCTGCCAGGTAACATATTACTAGCAGCCACTTGTGATCACAGGTCAGGAAATTTAAAACAAATAGTATGTATATAAAAGGAAAATGTTTTAATCATCCTTAAGACAATTATCCTATGTGTTCTGCCATGACATAACTAACGCCTCTGTATGGTGCAAAATACTTTTGTGGTCACTTCCCACCTCACTAATGAAAGGTTTTGTTGTTTATACCACATTGATGACATTCTACTATAAATAAACTGAATGCATGACAGAGGGGTCATTTAACTTGTGAGCCCAAATGAGGGTGCTGGTGTTGACATAAGTTACACTTCTTACCTCTTAAGGTAAAAATAACTGTAAATGGACATTCTGATAGTTTCCTCTTGCTCCCAGCAGACTGTCTCGCTTTCTCTTCCCTCTTACATACCCCTTAGGAGATTCTGTAAGTATTTGTGGATGAAGGAGTGACTCTAGACTGGCACCTCTTTCATTTCTTAGGTTCCATCTCAGAAATCATAAAATATTAGATCCAGATAGTATTTGTGTCCTCCCCCCCACCCCCAATGCCTTTATTTTGCAGATGAGAAAACAGACACAGAGAAACAAAGAGACAGCACTCAAGAGGTAGAGTCAGGACTAGAATTCCGGTTTCCTGTCAGCACCAGGCACCTCCTCTGCAGGTCACCTCTGGACAGTGTAGGTGCCCAGCAGTGCCCAGATGCAGACTAGGGGGTCTGGTCTTTTTCTTCAAGAATATGGCCTTGAATAATCATCTTTATTTTTATTTTTCCTTCCTTTTGTCATAGACATGTGCTTTCTCTACATACAAGGGTGGGCAAAAGTAGGTTTACAGTTGTTCATGTGAAAAAAACACTCCATAATCAATAAATAATAATAATACAAGAACAGACTTTCGTGTACTCACGGCTGTAAACCTACTTTTGCCCACCCCTGCATTATTGAAATGTGAAGGGTGCTCACTCTTGGGGTCTCGTGTCCTGATGAATCAAGAATTGGTGTAGATTATTTTTGGACTCTTTTTAGTGATGAAGATGAAATCTTTATAATGGGTCTTTTTTCCAATAGCCTTGGGAGACTTTTAACAATGAAAACCTTAGTAAAAATAGCATAGGTAAAATGAAACAAAACCAAAAATGGTATAAATATTAAGTTGTAAAGGAAAGGGAAGTATATATTTACCAAAAATTTTGCACATTTCTAGTTAAAGACACTACAGTATTTGAACTTGAGACTTAGGTCTGAATTTCACAGAAACCATGACAAAGCTGTGATGTCATGGTTACCAGTGAGACGACACAAACTCGGTTCTTGTCTTCTTGAGGGAAAGATTGCAATGAAGAGACAAAGTGCAGCAAAGCAAGCATTTACTGGCTGCAGCAAAACACACTCAGGAGAGTGAAACGAGGAAGGGCATAAAGATGCACAGGAGAGCCTAGGCTGGGCTGCCTAGGCTCACTGGGAAGTCAGAGAAAAGGGGGCCTTGGCGACAGGTTCAGGGAGTGAGCCCTGGATGAGCCGCTGCTGCCCATTGCTCCCCTGGTTGCAAGTTTTCTGGGGTCCCTTCTCTGTAGAGAGAAGAAGGGGGAAGGGAATGGCAGGGGCATGCTTCCCTGGGAGAGAGTGAGAGCTGGGATCTTTGCCTTGGGGGTACTTACCTCTCTCTCACAAGTGGAAACCTTAGGGGAGGTCTAGGGGAGGGCCTCAGTAGAATATTCATCAACTTTGCAAGTGTGCCCCTTTCAGGGTATGGTCTCCACTGATTGGTGGGTGCCAGGCCAGGGGGTCCTGAGGCAGCCACAGCATCACTTGTCTGGTTTGCAAACTTTCTGGGCCTGTAGCTGAAATATCACTGAGGCCTAGATGCTATACTTAGGAAGGAAAAGGGCAGGGGGTCTAACTGAGCGATATGCTAGGCCAGTGATGGCGAACCTATGACACGCGTGTCAGAGGTGACACGCAAACTCATTTTTTTGGTTGATTTTTCTTTGTTAAATGGCATTTAAATATATAAAATAAATATCAAAAATATAAGTCTTTGTTTTACTGTGGTTGCAAATATCAAAAAATTTCTATATGTGACACAGCACCAGAGTTAAGTTAGGGTTTTTTCAGAATGCTGACACACCAAGCTCAAAAGGTTCGCCATCACTGTGCTAGGCAGTTAAATGATTTCCAAAGAGGGGGAACACTGTGATCTTAATTTAATGTGACCTGATGCTGTGTTGAAGATTTATGAGAGGCAGCAAGCATAGTGCTCAAGAGTTCAGACTTAGGAGCCAGATGACTGGGTTCAAATCCTGGCCTCACCACTTAATAGCTGCGTGATATTGGGATTGTTAACTAACCTCTCTGTGCTGAATTTCTTCATTCGTACAGTGGGTTAGTTTGAGCACCTGGCTCATAGAGTTACCCCCTCAACCCCCCATTAGGGTAGTTTTGATGATTAAATGTGTTAATACACATAAAACATCCAGGAGAGTATCTGGCCCTGTTAACTGCTATTATATTATTGTTATGATTCTAATGCTGCTGTTGATGTAATGCTAATAAGGTCAAGATGGGTGCAAGTTTATAGAAACAATTACAATAAAATATTTTCTTGAGGTCAGCAATTACAAGACTGTTTGTTTCTTTTTCTTTTTGCAGGGCTCGGCTGTTTGAAAAGAGTGATAAATACACTCTGGCTTTACTCAGTGATGTACTTGGAGTAGTCTGTCTGTCTGTCTTTTTTTTTTTTCTTTTTCTTTTTGCAGGGCTCGGCTGTTCGAAAAGAGTGATAAATACACTCTGGCTTTACTCAGTGATGTACTTGGAGTAGTCTGTCTGTCTGTCTTTTTTTTTTTTCTTTTTCTTTTTGCAGGGCTCGGCTGTTCGAAAAGAGTGATAAATACACTCTGGCTTTACTCAGTGATGTACTTGGAGTAGTCTGTCTGTCTGTCTGTCTGTCTGTCTTTTTTTGACGTGAGAGTATCGCTAAAGAAAAGCTTGGGCAGTCGAAGAGACTGCAGAATAATGTGCCGGCGCCCAGCTGCTTGTTGGGTGGCTCTTGTTTGGCTCCACGTTTGCCAGTGCTGTATGCATAGTTTGCATTTCCAAATTGAGGATATCTGTGCTTTTAGTGCTGTTCATAGAGAGATGCAAGGATCTGCTTCCTCTGAGGGAGTCGTGACCCTGCAGAGCAGTTTGTTAGTATTTTTAGGCGCAGTGTGTGATACAATCATGGGGAAGGGGCAGCCTGGGGGGGAGGAAGGAAAGGAAGGGAAGGAGTCAAGGATGGCTGAGGGCGCAAGGCTGGGCCTGGCCCCAGCAGCCCCCGGAGAGGTTCCAGTTTTATGAAACTTCTCAGAAGAAACACCTGCTAAGAAAGAAGAAAAAGAGGGGCAGTGCCTTTAAAGTTACAGACAGACAGATATCTCTTTAATTGATTCCTTTCTTTGTTTAAAATACTTTTACTGATTTCAGAGAGGAGGGGAGCAGGAGAGAGAGAGAGGAACACCAGTGACGACAGGGAATCATTGATTGGCTGCCTCCTGCACGCCCCACACTGGGGATCGAGCCCCACAACCCAGGTATGTGCCCTGACTGGGAATCGAACTGTGACCTCCTGGTGCATAGGTGGACGCTCACCCCTGAGCCACACTGGCTGGGCCTGATTCCTTTCTTGAATTTAATTTTTGATTACAGTGTATTACTTTGACATATGTGATCAATTATAACAAGCCCAGGTCTTTTGCTCTTGGTGAGGAACTTAATGGGAATAGGAATGCCTCAACTTTTGTGAGTAAAACGTGTCATGCTTTCAGAGACTGTAATTTTCCCACCATGCCATCACTACTGCTCAAGAAATAGATGTTAATTCTATGTAGGTGGTTCTTAACCTCATGCTTCATATCTGAGACTCTGCATAGGTTTATTAGAGAATGTCCTTCATTTTAAGTCTGTTTAGAAACCTGTTCCCTACTGATACTGTATTTTAATGATTTTTGTGTTATCAATTCCAAAGTTTTCCATTCATTTTGTTTTTTTGATGTATCCAGAAAATTTTCTTTTAAAAAATTGTTTCGAATTATTTTTATTTTGGTGGGCCTTTTACCCATCTTTAATAAAATATGAACTGTATTCATTTTCAAATTTAAAATATTCAAATGTTACTAACCGAGTTGTTACCATATTCTCCTTTGTTCATACATTAAAAAAGAAAGAACAGCTTGCTTTCTTCATTATCCATTGGCTCCTCAACCTGGGAAAAAACAGGGTTTTTTTACACCTACTGATAATACCTTTCAGGTCTCCGAAAGGAACCCGGGGGTTCAGAGTCCTCGCCCTCAGTTCATTTGTGGGGTTTAATTAAGATGTAATACGTGGAAACAGTTGGGAGATTAGATTTCCTTTGGTAGATAAGAACAGCTCTCCAGGAGTTCAGGTTGTCCAAGGATGCCGTTGGGTGCCTTTGGGAATAATGAGTTTACTGTCCCTGGAATTACCCGAGTATGTGCTGGGTCAGCGTGTTTCAAAGCTTTTTTCCACAGTGGTAGACGAGATGGATGGACATTCATGTGGGCAGAGCAGGGTTTGGGCAGCATTCCTGACACGCCACCCCTCCCCCTCACCCAAGAATGCATATTGAAACCAGAGGGAAAGGGATCCTAAGGCGTTGAATCTACCCACAGTCATATATTAGAAAACACACACACTGTAGTTGGGATTGGTATGAAGGGACCAAGAACACAGTTGCTAACTGAGTATTGCCCGGTTACCAGTGTGTGTGACAAGTTGTGCAGGGACACCAGCACCAGGCGGGCGATAGGATTAGGCAGCTTTTAATTTTCTGAACCCTGAGACGATAATTCTCTGCCATGACCAAAATTTCACAGAGAAAATGTTCTTTTTAATGATTCATCTGTCTTCTGGAATTTGTTACAATTGATGATTATGGTTCAGAGAAGTAGAGACTTTAGACCAGTGGTCGGCAAACTCATTAGTCAACAGAGCCAAATATCAACAGTACAATAATTGAAATTTCTTTTGAGAGCCAAATTTTTTAAACTTAAACTATATAGGTAGGTACATAGTTATTAACTTAATTAGGGCACTCCTAAGGCTTAGGAAGAGCCACACTCAAGGGGCCAAAGAGCCGCAGTTTGCCGACCACTGTACTAGCCTATTCTGCTTATTTAGTATTAAGTGCTTGACCTCATACTAAATATGAAAAACATTGGTTAAAAAAAGTAAAGCAGTTGAAGAGTATGCACAGGCAATTGTTAATAAACTCTTTTTAAACATTATATGCGTATAATCTCTTGTACTATGTAATTGTACGTTACAATTTTCATTCCAGAATTTTAAACTCAAATCAAAGCAGAACCACTTTGAGAATCAAAATTCTATTGAAAACGTAAGCCTTAGAATTCTTGAAGAAATACACATGGCCTGCCTGCCATAGTTGACATTCAGTGACAAGATTGTCACCAATAACGAGGTTTCTTTCTTTGCATCTGTTTCACAAGCATGAAAATAATCCTCACTAAGCCGCTGTTTGACGAGGCTGGACACTTGCCGAAATAGCCGACAATACAAAACATTACGCAGCTGTGCGTGGTGAGCTGAAGGGGGACAGCTGCAAGCAAGATGGGCATAAGAAATGCTATAGGGACACAGCACAGCACAAGTTGAGACGGTTTGGGCGGGGGGTGGTGAAATGCTGAGAAGCAGCAGTCATAGCCTGGGCATTTTCCCAGAAGTTGCAGAAAAACTCACAGGTATTTTATAAATGGTCACTTGGCCACACGCTGCGACATGGTAACAGTTTTTAGTAGGGACTCAGCTTCCAGGAGGAGACTGGTGTCCTGTAGACCAGGGATCCTTTGGATAACAGGGAGCCTGCGCTGACACTGTAAATTGGGAGGGAGCTTCAGGTTTTCTGGTAGACATAAATTATGTCTCATTCATATAGTTGTTATTTTTTAAATAATATTTATGAGGACAAGGAGAGCCAGTGGGTGCAGTTTCTGTTATGAATATGTCATATGTACACAAAAGAGTATAATGTCAAACAATTACAGTTAAAAGAATAATTATAGAACACACTGGATGGAAGCTTTGGGGGTGGGGGACACGGAAGCTTGAAAAGTTTTTGACATTTTCCTTTGGCAAAAATTAGAGGGACTGGCAGTGGGAGAACAAGGGGTAGGGATAGAGGATAGTTACTGTTGACTGATCGTACTACAGCTGTCAATGGTGGTTTTTTAATTTAATTTAATTTTTTAATTAAAAATGACCCAGTCAGTAATATCTTTGAGGTTGCCTAAATTTACATTTTAATATTAAGCATTTATAGATACTTGAATAGGAAACCCATGAGGAAAGTAAACAGAGATGACTGGTCACAGATTGGGAACTGCAGGAGTAAGGAGTCAGCTTTTACTAAATTTTGTACAAAAAAAGTAAGGCAATGCATTTGGAACAACAGAAAAGAGTCTATGTACGAAAAATATCTGGCTTTAAACTTCTTGTTAGTACTTCAGAACAGGACCATTCAGACTGTTTCCAGGGGATGCTGGGCTGTTGTGCTTCCTGTTGTAGCCAGTGATGACGAGGAAATGCTGAGCAGCTCCAGGAGAGGGCTAAAGAAAAGACTTCAAGCCAGGCCCGGCATGGCTTGGTGTTGAGCGTCAACTTATGAGCCAGGATGTTTCTATCTCTCTCTCCCTCTCCCTTCCCCTCCGAAATCAATAAAAAAATATATATTAAAAAAAGAAGAAGAAAATACTTCAAGATCTTACACTTTGAATCCTGTGTGTGTTTTCATTCACTGTTTGGTACGAAAACTATCAGGGAGCTGGTAGGGCTAAGACAACTAAAAGAGGTACCAAACTTGGAGAAGAAATTAAAATAAAAAGGACTCTTTAGTCTTGAAAAATGAAGCTGTGATTTAAATATATATATATATAAACAGACTTCTTTATTACACCCTGCAAAACTAAACAAAAGATGGTTGTTGATAGTTGAGGAGGAAGGTTTATGATAAAAGAAAATAACTTGTTTTAACGTTCACCAAGCAGTTGCACCTTTATCATTCAAATGACCTTTACTCAAGTGAGAGGAGAAGATGCCCCTTATTTGCATCTGACAGATGGGAAAGCAGCTCTGAGAGTAAGTGACTGGGCTAAGTTGACACTGTAAGGGGTGTGTATGGAAAACTCAGGAACAAGATGCACTGGCGTGTCAAGTCTGTCTGACTTAAAATGTGATGGCAGACTATGTAATGAAGTGAAGATGTAAAATGTGAATACTATGGAGATCTTAAAGGAAAGCCTGACTCTATGCAGTAGTAGCATAACTTTAATTTTAAAGACTTGAGATCATAGAGTGTAATCTATCATCTCATAGCTCCCCTTATTAGAGGCTGAGGGTTGACCAATATAAGTTTATTGACTTGATCCAATGTCAAGTTTCCTCATTTTTATTTGTTGTGTAAACTGAGGGTTTTTGTGTGTGTTTGTTTTGTGTGTGTTTGTTTTGTATCAGAGATAGCCTCCGCTAGGCAAAAGCAGAAGGATCCAAAAGATCGGTCTTGTGTGAAAAAAGGACTGCAGGTAATGTGTGGACGACTGCACATTGTTCGTTTCCTGGGTCGTCGGTAATGACAGGATTTTCAGACTCAGATGATGCATATTGAAAGATTATCGGGCCATCTGTGTCTCTTCAGCTGCCTGCTGAGAAAACCAAGTGTTCCCAACAAGGGTTAATGTGATCTGTTGACCCCAGCTGACAAACAGGTCATGGCTATCCCTCCTGATGAAGACTCTGGGAGCCAAACTCAAATCTGCAGGAATTCACAGATTCGACAGATTTAATGTGAGAACAGGGCTTCTCCGTGTTTTGGACGTCACTGAAGGCCCTGTAGCAGTACCTGTGCTTTTCTGGCTGCCACCGCCACTGCCACCGCCAACAGCGGTGTTTGTTCCCTTTGTATGTTAGCTAAACTGAGAAGTGTCTAGTACGTTTTTTAGGTTCGTGGACACTTGATGTGATCCCCAACCATTTTTTAAATCAAAAGCTAAATAAAACACTCCACTAGGACTAAATGATCTGAATAGGGCCGTTTTCTAATTTTTAGGAATTTTCTAGTAAATGAAGGCAAAATGTTCTCACTGAGGTTTGACGGCTATTATTGTCTCCTGACAAAGGAAGTAAACAGTTTTCAGTCACAAAACACGTTAAAGTAATAGTTGAAGTAATGAGAAAAGTTGAATTCAAGGTAAAAGGTAAAAGTTGAATTAACCTTCAGTAGCTAAAGGTTATTTTACACAGGGAAGGTGTGTAATGTGTGTATAAGGTACTGAGGAGAGTATTTCCTGTATGGCATTTTTATTCTCTCTTTTGAATTAACTGTAGCACAGGAAGTGGCAAACTGTGGCCTGTGAGCCAAATCTGGCCCCACTGCCTGTTTTGTGTGGCCTTTGAGCTGAGCATGGTTCTTGCATTCATATATCAGAATAGCTAAGAAAAATTAAAAGAATGTTTTATGACATGTGAAAATTATATGACATCCAAATTTCAGCGTCCATAAATAACCTTTATAAGAACACAGCCATGCTTGTTTGAGTATAGCCGATAGCTGCTTTTATGCTACAGTTAGGCAGAGCTGTCTAGTTCAGAGACCATACAGCCCCAAAGCCTAGAATAATTACTGTATATCCCTGCTCTAGCAAAATATTACTAATGTCACAAATTAGAGTTTTCCTGTGTTTTCTTTTTTTTTTAATGTAAAATTTTGGCAAATGGAATGTGATTTGTTTCTTTTATCAAATGAAATGGCTAACATTTCCAGTAGAGTGGTAGAGTACATCTCTCATTTTATAAGGACAGTGGAAAATAGGGGCCAAACATAAAGTTTCTCTATTGTGTATCTGAAGGGCCAAGGGCTCACTCTCCTGGAAATTGGTTTCCTCTGGGTCTGTGTCCCAGATGGTCGGCCGACAGGCTGCCCAGCAGCTCCTCCCTGTGTGCACATGCCACTTCTCCTGAAGAGGTCGTCCCGAGTCAAGGCTGGCCTCCCACTTACTTCGACCCATAGAATATGTTGATTGTGATACTGTGTGACTTCCAGGTATTGGCCTTTAGAAGTTGTGCAGCTTCAGTTTCGTCTTCTTGGCAACCAGCCACCAGGTAAAAGAGGCTCCAGCTGGACTCGCAAAGGATGACAGGTGACGTGGAGAAGGAAGGCAGGACAGCTGGCAGTCATTGCCATGGCCAGAAGTAACCGGGGGTCATCCTGGATAGCTGAGCTGACACAGGGCTAAGCCCTACTCGAATTCTTTTTTTTTTAAATTTTATTTTTCAATTACAGTTGACATGCATTAGTTTATATTAGTTTCAGGTGTACAGCATAGAGGTTAGATAATTACCTACTCGAATTCTTAACCCTCAGAATTTTAAGCCAATGAAATGGTGGTGGTTTTAAGTCACTAAGTTTTGGAGTACTTTGTTATGTAGTATTACCTAACTAAAAAGGTTTAGGGAGATATGTGATTTTTTATTATGAAAGATGAAAGAGAAAAATATCTGACTTAGGGTGTTAGAGAACTGAAGTCAAATAAACACTACAGTCACATGCTTGAGTTCTTGGGACATATGGTTCATTGAAAAATTTCATACTTATTTTTATGATTATAAAGCACAATGTATGCTTGTGGAGAAAATGTAGAAAAGGATAGAAAATTCTAATGCATAATATTTAAATTACTCACAATTCTGCCATTTAGAGAAGAATCACTGTTCTAGCCTTTTCTTTACATACATTTTTTACTTTATAAAATTATAAATATATATAGTTTTGTACTCTGCTTCATTTTGATAATATTATACTGTTAAGTATATTTCAGAACAATAATTTTTAATGACCACAGAGGCCTATTTAAGTGAGTTATAATACATTCACATAATTCAAAGGTCTTCATTTTCTATTTCCAGGTTTGCTAGTTAGAGAATTTTTTTTAAAGCAAAGCTTTTTTGAAAAAACACCTTTAATGAGCTATAATTCACTTACCATACAAATACACAATTTAATGTGTGCAATTCAGGAGATTAAAAATGGTGGCAGAAAAGAAAACAAAATAAAGTGTGCAATTCAGTTTTTTAGTATATTCACAGGATTCTGTACGATTGTCACTATCTAATTTTAGAACATATTTGTCCCCTCTAAAAGAAACCAAACTTCATCTTTCTCCCAACCCCAACCCCTGCTCTAGGCAACCACAATTCTACTTCCTGTCTCTCTAGGTTTGTATATGGTATTCTGTGACTGGCTTTTTTCACTTAGCATAATGGTTTCAAGTTTCATCTGGGTTGTAGCATGTAGTAATATTTCATTCCTTTCGATGGTTAAATATTTTTTATTTAACCATATTTTATTTATCCATCAATTGATAGATATTTGGGTTGTTTCTACTTTTTGGCTCTTCTGAATAATACTGCTATGAACATTCATGTACAAACTTTTCTGTAGACATATGTTTACATTTTTCTTGGATATATACCTAAGAGTAAAATTCTTGAGTCACATGGTAACTATGTCTAACTTTCTGAGGAATTCCCAAGCTGTTTTCCTAAGCAGTTGTATAATTTTGCATTCCTACCACCAATGTACACAGTTTCTAATATCACTACATCTTCGCCAACACTTGATAGTGTCTTCCTGATTATAGCCATCCTAGTGGGTGTGGAGCAGCACCTCATTGTGGTTTTGATTCACATTTTCCTAATGGCTAATTATGTGGGGCATCTTTTCATATGCTTATTGGACATTTTTATATCTTTTGGGGGGAAATATATTCAAACATTTTGCCCATTTTTTTAGTTATCTTTTTATTACTGAGATGTAAGAATCTTTTAGGATACAAGTCCCCTATTAGAGATGTTATTTGCAAATCTTGCCTCCCATTTTGTGGGTTTTTCCCCCATCTCCTTGATAGTGTTGTCTGCAGCATTGATATTTTCAATTTTGATGTAGTCCAGTTTATTATTTTTGTTGTCACTTCTGCCTTTGGTGTCATATCTAAGAAACGATGGTCTAAACCAGCTAACAAAGATTTTAGAGAATTATTAAGTATATCATTTTATTTATTTATTTATATCAGGTTTGTGTGGTTTTTTAAAAAGTACAGACCCTTTCAGGACAATACATGTGTAGTTTTTTTTTTTTTAAAGGGCTGCATAACATTCAGTGGTATAAATATATCCTAATTTATTCAACCACTATTGATAGATATAGTCTTATTTCCAGGTTTTGTTTGTTTGTTTTGTGTGTGAGGGGTTTTTTTTTTGCCACAAACAAGACTGCAAAATATTTACTATTTTGTTCTGGTGCCTTTATTCCTGCAGGATACATCACCTAGGATGGAATGGGATGATACTTTCTTCAAAATCTAAGTTGCTAGGATTTGTCCTGCATTGGAATTTGAACACTCCAGTCAGCTGGTTAGGAAAAAAGATTATGAATGCGCTGTCGAGGAGCTTTTGTAAAAGAGCAAATTCATTTCAGAAAACTGGGCCGACCTCATGATCCATTGCTCTGTAGACAGCTTTCTTTACCGTCTTTAAGGTGGGAGAATAGACTGCTTCCCATAGAGCAGCAGAGGGAACGAAATGCAGGAAGGTTTGGAAATAGCCACGAAGGAAAGCAGGCTAGGATGCCTTGCATTTTTTGTTTTTGGGCTTTGTTTTTGTTTTGCTATACACTGCTGAAACAGAATTTAGGGACCACATAACACACACACACACACACACACACACACACACACACTTCGCATGTCGCTGTGTAAACTGACGGAATCACTCTGGGGAAAGTGGAGCTTGTGCCAGCTCTTTGCTGAAGTCCTGTAACTGGTATTTAAATGCTTACAGATTGTTGAAAGGGAGATTGGGCAAGCCTAAAAACCCTTATTTACTGGCACTTTTAACAAAATAAAGACATTTTAAAAAGAAAAGTGAACTGCTCAACTGGCGAGGCTCAGTGGTTGAGCGTTGACCTATGAACCAAGAGGTCATGGTTCGATTACTGGTCAGGGCACATGCCCAGGTTGCGGGCTCAATCCCCAGTGTGGGGCATGCAGGAGGCAGCCAATCAATGACTCTCTCTTATTGATGTTTCTATTTCTCTTTCCCTTTTCCTTCCTCTCTAAAATCAATAAATAGATATAAGATAAATAAATAAAAGTGAACAAAGTACATAAATGTATCAAAATAGCATACTGCATACCTTAAACTTACACAATGTTACATGTCAAACCTATAATAAAAGCGTAATATGCTAATTAGATGGGACAACCTTCCTGATGAAGCCGGGGCTGCAAGGGAAGCCCGGGTCCTGGGTGCCTGCTGGCGGCCAGAGGGAAGCCAGTGCTGGCAGCTGGGGGAAGGAAGGCTTACTCTTGCATGAATATCGTGCATAAGGTCTCTAGTTATTCAATAAAAAAGTTAAAAAATAAAGTTGAATACAGGTTTTATATCATTTATTCCTATTGGTTGAAAAGGAGTGAAAAACTTATAGGAGCTTTAACTGATGTCTTGGCCTCATAACATCTGTATTAACATAATTAATGGCCAGCTTCGTGACCATCGGAAAACACATATAGCATATCAGATATTTATATTACGATTTATAACAGTAGCAAATTACAGTTATGAAGTAGCAACGAAAATAATTTTATGGTTGGGTCACAACATGAGGAACTGTATTAAAGGGTCGCGGCATTAGGAAGGTTGAGAACCACTGCTTCAGAAGAACCAGAGTAGCAGATGAGTATTTTAGTATTTTTAGAGTCCTTTTAGAGCTCTTACTGTCCTATCATATTGACTCTTCATTACTGTCCTATCATATTGACTCTTCATTGGACCTCCTTTTAATAAACCTTCAAATTGTTGCTGTTATCTAGAAATTCAGCTAGAGGGCCACTTTAGTGCCTTAATGACTGAGTAAGGTTCTAAGTTATATTTTAGATGCATTAACTTTTTTTTTCTGATGGTTTTAGGATCTGTCATTTCTTGGTATGAGTTAATCTAAGAAAATCGTTTGTAGAAAACTGACAACTAGATAGATATGCTAGTTGAGGATATATTTCTATATATTTGAGGGTATATTTTTCTTTTAACTTTTTATTAATGGAAACTTCAATAAATTTCAAGTCAAGAGAATAGCATACTGAACAACCATGAACCTGTGACTTATCTTCAACATTTATATCATCTCAGAGCCAGTTCTGTCTCGGCGTTCTCTGCGGTCCCACATGGCAGCCACAGGGCTGTGGCTATGGGACACTTGAACTGTGGCCAGTCCAAATTGAGATGTGCCCCAAGTATAAAATGCTACCTCACAGCCTTTGGGGACATTCTGCTCTCCCTCCTGGGACTCCTTCGAGAATTCTTCTGTGACCCTCATATTTAAACAGACCTCCCCCCAACCCTATCCTCTGTAAACCCCTTGTTTGTCTCTTTTATAACGTTTTTACACCTGATAGTTATTTAATTATTTGACTTGCCTGTTAAGTTTCGGTGTGGCCCCCTGCACTGTAACCTCGGGAGGGGGCGCAGCATGGACTCCCCGTGAATGACCACGCCACGGCAGGAATACTCAGCCCCGCGGGCCCAGTGCTTCCTCTCCCACAGCACATGTATTGTGGCCTCCTTTACTATCTTGATGTGAAACTTGTAGAATAGCAGAAATTATTTATAATTACAATTTTCTTTAAATGAAGATAATGCCCTAATTTTAATATCAAAGAGAAATACAGGGAATTTGCAATAAAATAATGTGCTCTTTTTTTTCCCTCTGTTTCTTGGTATTGGCAGTGTGACTTGTATCAGATTAACCTCCTGCCATATATAGTTCTAAACTCTGGTTAACGTCTTTAAAAGACACACACACACGCACATGGCAGTGACAGTCCTGCACTGCATGGTCCCTCAGTTACTTCAGGTCTGAGTTACCAGAGAGGCCCATCCTGCCTGAGTCCCTAGGACAAAACCGGAGCCCTCATCCTTCCATCCCTCAGCCTCCCGCTCCTCCTCCACCCTCCCCGCCACAGCACTGAGAACCACTGACTTTCTCTGTGTTTTCAGATTGTCTCCTCACACTAAAAGCTCCCTGAGGGTGAGGGGTCTTCATTCACCACTGTTCCCTCGGCACCTCCTTCAGTGCTGGGAATGTAACAGGTGCTCAGCAAACTGTCAGTGAACAAAGGAATTTTTTACTTCTTGGCCTGTCTTCTATGATTCTTCAGCAAAAAAGGGCCCATGAATAACTGGATTGTGGGCAACTGTCAAAAAAGCCTCCCTCATCAGCTCATGGTTGAACCAGCCATTCCCTCGGTGGGCCTCCCACCCATGCTCCTCCACAGCGGAAAGGCTCTTAGAGTGAAACGGCACGAGGTGAAGAGACTCGCCCCCTGTAACTTTTTCCTGTCACATTCAGACTTTTAGAATGTCACCTTTGGCAATCCTATCTAATAAAAGGGTAACACGCAAATTGACCATCACTCCAACACAAGATGGCCACCCCCATGTGGACACAAGATGGCCAGCAGGGGAGGGCAGTTGTGGGCGATCAGGCCGGCAGGGGAGGGCAGTTGGGGGGCACCATTTCTGCAGGGGAGGACAGTTGGGGGGTACCAGGCTGGCAGGGGAGGGCAGTTGGTGGGACCCAGGCCTGCAGGGGAGGGCAGTTGGGGGGACCAGGCCTGCAGGGGAGGGCATTTAGGGGCAACCAGGCCTGCAGGGGAGGGCATATAAGTCTTACCTTTATTTGCTATTTAATGCAACTTGGTAAAGAGTTCTATCAAGTAGAAGAAACTTTGGGGAAATGAAAGCACATATTATCTGGACTAGTGGAATAGTACATTTTTAAAAATACTCTACATTGCACCTTAGGAGGAGACCAAAGGAGGAGAGGCATGAGGAAGAGCAGGAACTGCGCAGCAGACTGCCCTGTAGCGCACGGAGGTGGAGTTTGCGCATTTACCCACAAATGGTACTTGGGGATTGCCATCAGCATCCAGAGAGCATTTAAGGAATAGATCATCATGTACAATAAGTTGTTCCTTTACCAAAATGTAAATTAGTTTTCTTTGACCAGGTTGGGGAATATCAAAGAAATAGCATTCAAAGATGATGCCGGAGGGTTAGTGAGGCTTTAACACTTCCTGGCCTTTGATGGGGCAGAGGCCATTCGCTCAGAAAAGTGCCTTCTTCCCGAGCCCAGGCCCCTGCTGGCCACGCCCAGGATTTAACAAGACCCGACTTGCGCCTGGCCAATCGGCAGGGCCCACAGCCGGCTCCTCTCCCCTCACTATTCTCACGGGGGGGGCACTCGGTTTCCGGTTGCTGCGTCGACTGGAGGTCCGGGTCGGGTTAGCTAACTCAATAAAGGACCCTCTGCTTTTGCATCGGACTGACTCCCTGGCATGGTTTCTTGGGGATCTTGAATTCTGGGCATAACATTTGCCTTGTTTCTCTTCACCATGTAGAGTGGACATAACAGCCCACTTGTAATTCTCATGTCATAAGGAATATACTACAGCGATCATGTAAGGGAATCATCCTGTTTGTTAAGGAGACGCTTTTCCTAACTTATAATGGCTTGTTTACTGGCCTTTTTTTATTTCCTGTTATTGTAATGGTGGCTATGATGGGAGAATTTCATTTGCTTGTTACTTTCTCCACTCTCGTATTAATACAAATGGTGCCTTGCCCAGCTGGCGTGGCTCAGTGGTTGAACGTTGACCTATGAACCAGGAGTTCCCAGTTTGATTCCCAGTCAGGGCACATGCCTGGGTTGTGGGCTTGATTCCCACTGTGGAGTGTGCAGGAGGCTGCAGATCAATGATTCTCGCTCATCATTGATGTTTCTATCTCTCTCCTTTCCTCTCTGAAATAAAAGAATATATATTTAAAATAATTTTTTAAATGTTGCAAATAATCAGTGTACTAATCAATGTTGTTTGAGTAACAAACAATGTAAATTGTAAGAATGAAGGACCCGAAAGTTGGCACATACAGTGATGGCCACCCTGAGCTAGGGTCTCCTAAAGCTTAAGTAAATACATTTTCTTTGAATAATGGTTACCTTGGCTGCCTTTTAACTGCCAAAGTAAACTATAGTTGGAAATCTCTTAGTACAACAAAACTGGCTAGTAGTTCAAATAAAAATGTTTAATACTATACGGAATCTATATGAAATTCATTTTCAGAAAATATTTCCATCCATTGTCAGCAGGAGCTAAGAGTAGAGAACTGTACCTAGCTTAGTGCCCGGCATAAAGTAGATGCACAATTAACATTTGGTGAAATGCATACCGTAACTGGATGTTGAAGGAACAAAAGTTGAGTAGTAAAAACAGCAAACATCTCCTTCTTTGCTCCCAAGTCTCTTCCTTCCTCTCTCTCTAATCACTGCAGCATGATTTGTAGGAGTAGAGGTGTTGGATAAGTGTGGAAACGGGCCTTTCACCTGAAGAAAGTGTTGTAAGACAAAAGGGATTATTAGTGCAGAATAGTGTCGATACAGTGTATGTAGTTAATAGTGTCAGTGTAGTTAATGTTTTGTAAATACATTCCATGTGCAAGACAGTGTCTACTAGTTGCTCTAAGTCCACGATGTTAAGGAAAGTGAAAGTTTGTGTCCCTGTGGTTAACTGTTCGGTTGTTAGCCTGCACGAAGCAGATTTGACACCATATTAGAAACAGGAAGAAGCAGAAGAAAAACAAAGGCTCTGTGTAGAACCAAGAGGGTGGAGGCAACACGCCTTGCTTGCACAGCACATTTCTGCATAAAATAAGTTCGTCTTTCAGTTGATGAAATGACTTTTGATTCGGCTGCGATATCCTGGGATGGCTCTATGAATCCAATAAAACAAAGTTAAAGAAAAACCTGTTGGCGGGAATATATAATTAACCCATAGAAATTAGTGCCATCCAGTATATTACTCAGGAAGAGGATTAAATACCGGTATGAATAAAAATAGTATCTATTATTGTTCTCCCTGGGATAAAATTATAAGGACTGTCAGTCATCCTGCTAAGGGCCTAGGTTATTATGGGTTGTATTGGGAACAGTGCTTGCTCTCTTTCTATTGTGTAATAGTCCACGATTAGATGAATAGTGGGATTCTTTTTGCTTAGAACGGTCTGGTGCAGTTACAGTTGGTTTGGAACTGTGTTTGATATATGCTTAAATGCTGTTAAAATGATTTGTATACCTTTAAAAATTTATTTCTGGTTATTGCATGCTACGTTGAGCTTAATATGCCCTTGACTTGAAACTAGACCCCTGAACCAGAAATGGGCTACCTGGTTCTAGTTCTAGGTCTACCTTTGACTGTTGTGATCATTTAATTAATTCATAAACATTGGTTGCATTTTCCTGCATTAAGTTCTGGAAAAACAAAAAGGAATAAACACCAGGTCTTGCCCTTAAGAAGTCAGTATAGTTGGAAGTTTTTCCATGTAAGCTTAATGATAATGTGTTCATGACATAGGAAAGGAACCCCAACCACCTCTGGTGGGGAGCATGCCCCGGAGGAGGAGGTAAGAGCTGAACTCCGTAGAAGTTGCCACCTGGGCGATCAGGGCTTTGTAGGGCATTCAGGCCGGAGCCAGTGGCACAGCAGTCTGGTAGTACAGTGTGCTCAGTGCTCAGAGGATTGGGACAGTGCTTACTCTCTTGGTCCTGGACTGGGAGGGAGGCAGGAGGTGAGGCTGCAGGAATGTGATCTGTGGACTGGTTCCCTCCCCTGAAAAGGAGACTGTGTTAATATTAGAAGGCTTCTATGGAGCTCACTCATTTTCTTGAAAAATTTCATATTGCTACTGTAAGGGAGGAAAACTCATCTTTTTAGGTTCATTGGCTGGGGCGCTGTAAATTAAACTGACAAAAGACAGATTAACAAGAGAAAAACACGAGTTTATTAACATGTGCATGGCCCAGGCTCGGTGAGGAGCCCTTGGAATTTGGTGGCTGTATACCTAATTTATTAGGGAAAAAGAGGGAGAGAGGGGACTTTCGGAAAAGCAATTGACTTTTTGGAAAGACACAGGGGCTCTTAGGAGACTGGACGGGAGGTATGATATTTTGTGACAAAGTCTGTCTGGCTGTGCTATTGACCTCTCTTCTCTCAAGAGTCGGTCCCAGTGACAGCATTTGTGACATTTGAGTTCTTCTGAGAAGTTCTGCTTTTAGGCAAATAGTCGGTTTCAGGAACTCAAATGCTTTAAGCTCAAAATAATTTTTATGTCAAAGTGGCATATTTTGGGGTGTCCTGTCCTGAACCCCTTTGCTACTTCTTAGTTAATAACACATCAGCCTCCAGCCCACGTTTTGGGGACTTGAGGGCTGGAATTAGCTGTCTGGAGTTTGCTAACGTTTTGAACAAGGTTGTCCTAAGCCAAGGTTGGCATGACTCATGTTCTGAATTACCAGACTCTTCCATATGCTTCCCTATCTCGGTGTCTGTCGTGTGTAGGCCTCTGTGTCTCTCCTTCTGCCCCGTCTTAATCTGCCCTGGAATTTTTCTCTGCATCTGTCTCCTCTGGACTTGAGTGTTCATTTCTGTTTTTCTGGCTCTTCCATCCCTACTCCCTTTAAAGTGTGGACACCCTACACATTTGGCTGGACTTGTCTCTGTACATATTCTCAGGTGCACCTTTGACAGACATGCTTTGTATTTCCAAGTATTTGTGTTAGTGAGAATTACGCATTTGTAAGACACTGAAGTGGTTATATTTTTTAAAAAATATATTTTATTGATTTTTTACAGAGAGGAAGGGAGAGGGATAGAGAGTTTGAAATGTCGATGAGAGAGAAATATCGATCAGCTGCCTCCTGCACACCTCCTACTGGAGATGTGCCCGCAACCAAGGTACATGCCCTTGACCGGAATTGAACCTGGGACTTTTCAGTCCACAGGCTGACGCTCTATCCACTGAGCCAAACCAGTTAGGGCTGAAGTGGTTATATTTTAAGGTTAAATCACTATGGATAAGGAATTTCTTTATCCATTTTTCTCTGGAAGAAATGAATCAGATAGAACTTGAAGAATAAGTATACAATCTTTTTTAGTTGCCGAAAGAAGTTTAAGTTACATGTGTTGTTATAATTACTCTGTTAAAAGACTGCAGTTGATGGAAGCACTAAGAGATAGCGTAGGTGATTGGAACGTGGGACAGTAATTTATATCTGGATGACTGCCCGTGCCCCAGGACACAGCACTGAGATGAAGTGCTTTGCTTCTGTGGCCGCCAGGCCTCCCTTCTGTAACCGGCTCAGTGAGCAGATCAAAACAGGGTGGGGCAAAGGTAGTTTTCATATGGAAAACAATTCAATAATTAATAAGTAATAGCAAGAGTAAACTCCTTTTTGTGTATTCACAACTGTAAGCCTACTTTTGCCCCGTCCTGTATTCATTCAGGTACACCGAGCTTACAAATAAACAGGTGTGCCAGTTAGAAAGCTATTCATATTTTCTGAGTGATGATTATTCTTAAAAGGTAAGTGTTCTGGATTCTCTAAGACCACCCTGCCCGGTACTTGCCCCTGGAGCTTTGGGGGCTGAGAGCCCTCCTGCATCCTGTGTTCTCTGGGTGGGAGCCGCCGTCCCAGCCGCCCCAGGTCTGAGCTGCCGGGTCCGCAGCTCTGCTCTCCTTGACACACAGGTTGCTCTCTTCTCTCGCTGGAGGTGACTCATGTAACCAGTTGTCCTTCTTCCTTCTTCCTTCTTCCTCTTTCTTTCTTAACTTAATTTCCACTTCAGGCACGGTGTTTGTTTGTTGTTGTTGTTTCACTTATACACACATATCTTTTCTGACCTCTCTTTTGATCTTCAGCCTCTTATTTTCCTCGTTCTCTTTGTGTGTGTGTGTGTGTGTGTGTGTGTGTAAAATCTCCTCTGATTTTACTTGGAAAACATATGGTCGGCACTTGGAACATTTACCTATCAAAGCATTTCAGACCCATACATTTTGGAGTGGAATAAAGCTTAAGTGCAATGTCTTCAGTCTCCAGAGCTCCCGGAAGCTCTGGGAGCATACAAGTGACCTTTCTCTCCAGTTAAACATGCTTGTCCCAAACAAATTCACACTGATGGTTTCCTGTATAATGAGGGTGTTATTATCAAGTAGCAACAAAAGAACAGGTATTGAAACCATGGGTGTCCTATTCAAAATGAAACAAATTAAACATAACAGTTAAC